CTGTCCTGGATTCCCTGTGTTTCCAGTTCCTATCTGTACCAATGCACATCCTCTGGTCTAGCCAGATTTGTAAGGTAGAATTGGGATCATGATAATGGGTGGAGAGGAAGCATTTAGGAACTAGAAGAAAGTTGTATGTTGCTACACTGCACCCTGACTGGCTCATCTCCTCCCCGTGACCCTTCCGTAAGGGGATGTCCAGTTGCCTACAGATGGCCTTTGGGTCCCCACTCCACATTCCCCTCATTCACAATGATATGATTTTTTGTTCTTTGATGTCTGATGCCTCATCCCTTCGACACCTCATGATCGCACAGGCTGGTGTGCTTCTTCTATGTGGGCTTTGTTGCTTCTGAGCTAGATGGCTGCTTGTTTACTTTCAAGCCTTTAAGACCCCAGACACTATATCTTTTGATAACCGGGCACCGTCAGCTTTCTTCACCACATTTGCTTGTGGACTGTGTGTTCTTTTATCTCGCAGGTTACTTTGGAAAGAAAGTGGGCAAAGATGATTAGAACGACTTCTTGTTTGCTTTGTTAAAAAACAAAACAAGTATCTAAAGTGTATTATGCTGATAGTGACCTCTTTTTCCCCCCCCTCACAAAAAAGGTGGGTGCAAGGATACCCTAAGCAGAATGTTCAATTTGTGAACAATGAAACCATTTGTTACCCTTCCGGGAATTATATCATATTCATTAATATGGAAACTAAGGAAAAGACAGTTCTCCAGTGTGTGACCGGAATTGTGGGCGTCATGGCAACGAACATTCCCTATGAGCTTATAGCTTTTTCAGATCGGAAATATAACCCCACCATCCACATATACAAGTTTCCTGGATTGACAAGAAAGACCAAATTAAAAGGTATCCTTCTAGACTCTTGCTCTTGCTATAACTGAAGGGCTTTCTTATCTGATGTGATGAAATCTAGTTCTTATAAATCAGTGGTTCTCAACCTGTGAGTTGAGAACCGCTTTGGGGATCAAATGACCCTTTCACAGGGGTCGCCTGATCCATAAAGTAGCAACGAAAATAATTGTATGGTTGGGGGGGGTCACCACAGCATGAGGAACTGTATTAAAGGGTCACAGCATTAGGAAGGTTGAGAACCACTGTAATATAAATGAAGATTTTTACAATTACACATTTTAAAGAAAGAACCAAAATCATCGATGGGGATTTAATTAAGTGTGCTGGAGTTCAAAGCGTGATCTGCTTATCGAAAAACTGTCACCACCTGGAAGCTTGTTAGAAGTGCAGTCTAAGTTCTACCCTTAGATACTGACTCTTTATCAGCGTTATAACAAGATCTGTGCAGTGCTTCAAATGCACGTTTAACTGTGGGTTAGAAGACTCTCTTACAGTACTGAATTCAGTTTGAAAACCTGTACACATTTGTTCCTTTCTGGTGATTTACAGAAAATGCAGGTTAATTGACATTGGCATAACTTCTGAAGACAAATCTCTGAGCCTTAATGAAATGGGGATAATGGTCATACTTAAATGTTAGGACTGTGATGAAAAATGGGAAAATAATGCATAGAGCACAAGTACCAGGACCCCTAACAACTTCCTCACTTAGCAAGGACTGAACAGGCCTTCATTCTGTAGCTTTATGGGTTAAATAAGTGTTTGCAGACAAGCCAGGGAATGTCACTAAACTTTATAACTTATTTATTGGTAGGGAAATTCATCTATATTATCAGCAGATTAAAACAACTTTTAAAACTATAACCCATTCATACGTGAGAGGCTTTCTGTACAGACTACAACCAACACTTGACCATAACGTTTCCCCTGATTAGTTACTTAGCCTGTGTACCCGAATCCGAAGACCACATTCCTACTGGATAACGAACTCTAAAGGCATTCATGATCAAACTAGGAATAACTAATCAATCATATAGATTATTATCACTATTATTTAGTATCAACAGAATACAAAACTGAAAATGTATACATATAGTTATGGGAAAGACCATGAATGTGGTCCACCGAAAAATTCAAGTGAAGTACAAAGCGGAACCTACTAGAACGAACCCAATGATGCTCAAGACCATGACGCTTTCGAAAGAAACACGCAATGAGCAGCTTGAGATAGTTAGACACTCTGGAGACGAGAAGGAGCCCTGGTGGCACAATGGGGTCCATGTTGGCCAGCAGGGAGACCCCACCGGTCACTCAGAGGGAGCACGATGAGGCTTTGTGCTCCTGTGAAGATTCACAGCCACAGAACCCCCCAGGGGCAGTTCCACCCTGTCCACTTGGGTGGCTGTGCCATGAGAATGGACTCAGTGGCAGTGAGTTCTGTTCGGTTTGCTTTTTAATCTTCGAAGAAATAGGACTGAGAGCAGGGCATGCTTAAATAAAACGATTCCCAAGGTCACCTGAAAACACAGAACTTGTTGGATGGCAAAAACATTTGCTCTGTAAATGTTCACTCAAACCACAAAAAGTAAAAGCAAACAAAACGGCATCTGGAAGAGCAGTTGAAAATGCAGTCACTTTGAAAGGGCAGGGAAAGGGGCTTTTAACATCATGGTGGTAAAAAATGAAAGTGTGGTATTGGTGGCGGTGTGTGTGTGTGTGTGTGTGTGTGTGTGTGTGTGTCACAAACTGAGTGGAGAAGTTGAAGCCTGGTGATAGAATAGATCAAAACTTATTCTGAGAGGCACGAAGCTCCCCTACCCACCCTCACAAGGTCAGGAGGGTATGGATTATCCAACAACGGTATGAGGAAATTTGACCATAAGAGTGAAAACATCAACAACAAAAAAAGAGTGAAAACATCAAATAGATAATCATGTTACATATATCAGGGGAAAAGAAGAGTTAAAAAGAGACAAAAAAGCAAAAATAGAGGAAAATAAGATCGAATTGAAAGAATTTTACAGGCAGAAAAGAATTTTCAAATTAAAAGATCGAGATATTTTATGATCTAAACATTTTAAACTTAGGAACTTCAAAATAGCTTGAAAACTAAAAGACAAAAATAAGCTAGGAAGACTATTTGGGATAACTATGGGGAGTCAGTATTTTCAGGGCACTTAGGAAACAGCTCGCAGAGCCACGGGAACGAGGACTTGCCGAGAAAAGGGCTGTCTAAGCTTTTCCCACTCTCGACCATTTTTGCCTGAGAATGAATTTTGCAACACGGGCAAGAAACATATCAGATTCATGACAAGTCTAATTCTCAACCTTTAATCGTTTCGAGTTAGGAATCCTTTTCTTATTGCCAAAGTTTTTGAGGACACCCCCGCCCCCACAGCGACACACACACTCAGTTATGTGATCCCATGCAACCCGCAGTTTAAAAACTTTTGAAGAAATCACACAACTACAAATGACTAAATTCTTCTTTCAAAAATTCCACCTCAATATTAACAACAGCAAATGCGATTTCAGTCAAGCTGCTGACTTTCCTACCCATCAGGATGAAGTTTCTTCGGAAGGTCCTGAGAGCTAAGCAGAGGGCAATGAAGTTGGTGACCACTTCCTTGGTGACGATGGGAATATCACATGATTCTTTCTGCCATAAAATATTGATTGTATTTGACCAGTATACCTGGTTTTTTTTTTAACATAAAGAATTCAGTCCTAAGAAAATAATCAGAAATAGGAATATGGTCAAAGATTCATGTGCTAAGTATATGAATGCACTGTTGCTTATACTAGGAAAAGATTGAAAACAACCTACATCTCTAGTAATGTGTTTAAATAAGTTAAAGTAACCCATTCAGAGGCATTATGCAAACATTAAAAATCACATTTTTGAGAGATTAGGAGGATGAGTAAATGCTCAATAGAAGATAAAAGAATAGGATGTGCCACTATGTGTAATATTTGAATTCTATCTTTTAAAATGGATTTTATACTCAATACTATATTCAATACTACATTATTTTATATTCATACTATTTTACATACTATGTCTACAAAAACCAAGTTCCATCTGAAGAAAATACATATGTGTATGTGCATGGATATATTTTTTAAAACAAAAACCCATAAGAAAGTACCATGAAAAAATTTGGTAGGGGGATTACAAAGGATTTTTTTCTTCTTGTGCTTAAATATTTTTTCTTTAAAAACTATATGTATTTTAAATTGGAAACAAATTCAAAGCTGGCATTAATAATCTCTCATTATGGGGAGGAATTTCTGTAGATTAAAGATAGACAAATCATGTATGAAGACCTATAACCCAAAGAGAAGATTTCACCTTTCCATGGAAAGATGTTAGATATCACCAAGTCAGCTCTGCCCTCAGCGGCCCTAGGGACAACTGAGTGAGACGCTGCCAGATCCCGCACCATCCTCACAGTTGTTAAGTTTCAGCCGCAACTGTGTCCATCTCATTGAGGGTCTTCCTCTTTTTCACTGACCCTCAGCTTTGGGGTTATAGTAAAAAGGGTAGAAAGGGGGGCAGGGAAGACACTAAAATGATCCCAACCAAATGAGGAAGCCTCAAAAGCAGATATCCCAAACCAAACTCAGTGCCATCAAGTGGATTCTAACTCAGGGTTTCCAAGGCCTTACAGATAATTTCCACTTTCTCCCGTGGACAGGCCGGTAGGTTTGAACTGCCAACCTTGTGGTTAGCAGCCCAGTGCTTACCAGAGAGGGCCAGCAGGGCTCCATCAAACACAGTCATAGGAGAAGGCAAAAGGACACCACTGGGGAAAAACAGAAGATTCAAGGAGAAGCAAAATCAGAGCCGGTGTACAGGGATGCACAGGCAGACACTTTCCCATCTTAACAGCCCCAAGATGCATTTAAATATGGCGTTGCTAAGTTTTCAAAGTGATGTTGCCTTTCCTCGACTATGGGTACCAATGGGAAGAGATCGTATTAAGTCCCAAGAGCTTAGTGATAAGACTTAAGGTATATAGGAATAAGGGACTCACCTAGAATTGCTACAATTCAAGATGTTTTAAATTGCATGAGAAACTTTTCTAATTAAAATGTTTCTTATATTGACAGACTATTTCATTGCTCTGGGACCATTAGAATCAATCAGGCCGGGACCTGAAAGATTCCATGTACTATGGTTCTATGCTGAAGTCTAGAAATGAAGACTTCGTGGTTTTCTTTCACTCCAATTATTTCTTGAAAACGGACCTTCACTTTGCTCGTAGCTTTTTGGTTCTAAGGGCCATAGCCCTGTGAGTCACAGGGAAAGTGCTGGAAAAGGAGTGTGCACTGGAGGGCTTTCCTTCATCCCAACAAGATAACGGCATCCTTCTCCTGGGTTTCTGTTTTAGGCACTGTGCTTCTGGACTACACGTTACTTAGCTTCAGCTACTGTGGCACGTACCTGGCTAGCTACTCCTCCCTCCCGGACTATGAACTGGCCCTCTGGTAAGTGGTAGCCTCTCGGCTGCATCTTCATCGCATCCTTCACCGGGCACGTTTTCACCTTCTCCTGCCGGACTTCACAGAAGAAAACCTCCATGAAAATGTGAAACAGGAAGGAGAGGGAGGAATACAAGTCCTCATCGGGAGCTTAATGTAATTGTCATGATTAGGCATACAATTTGGCAACTAGGGGGCAGAATATGCCAGCTTCATTCATTGCTGTTTTCATTTTTATCAATGTGTTATATAATCTTTCCTATGTCCAGCGAAGAATGTATTTATGCAGACATTGTTTCATCTTTAAAAAAATAAGTGCTACCTTTGAGTGAATTGCTTGCATGTTTTCCACAAATGTTGAATTTAATTTAAGGTTCATTCATAAAGTCCAACCGTGAAATCCACTGCCCTGGAGTTATTTCTGACTCATGGCAACCCCATCGGTCAGAGCAGAAGGGTACCGTGGGGTTTTCAAGGCGGTAGATCTTTATGGAAGCCATACCACCACATCTTTCTTCCGCAGAGGTGCTGGTGGATTCGAACCACCCCCCTTTGGGTTAGCAACTGAGTATTTTAATAGTAGTGCCACAAGGGATCCTTATAATCTTTTTTAGAGACATTAAAAAGATGATACATTCAGCTGTATAGGAAATACCTGGGGATAAGACCCAATCACCTTTGCTGATTGTTTTCAAGTGGCCAGCTTCAAAGGTACACTCTGTCTCCTGCCCACACTATAAACCCCTCCAGGGAGAAAACTGGGGAGCCCCGGTGGCCTAGTGGTTGGGCTCCTAACTACAAGGCCAGCAGTTTGAAACCACCAGCCACTCAGCTGGAGCATGGCTGGACTTTCTACTCGAGTAAGGGGTTACAGCCTCAGAAACTCAGGGGCAGTTCTAATTGGTCCTGTAGGGCCGGTATGAGTCGGCATCAACTCGAAGGCAGGGAGCTGAGTTTTGTTGTTGTTGTTTTGAGGGAGAAAATTTGTCCTATGAAGGGGAAGTACAAAAGAGCTCAGAAGTAATTAAGGATGCTTCTTACACAACTAGACAAAACATAGCTCCATTCAGATTTTGTTTGTGCAGAGATGTTCTTAAGCTTTACTGAGATACAGTTAACATAAAAAACTGCTCCTACAGGAAGTAGACATTTCTATAAGTTTTGAGATATCTATCTATCTATCTATCTATCTATCTATCTATCTATCTATCTATCTATCTATCTATCCATCCATGAAACCACCACCACAGTCAAGATGATAGACACAGCCATCATTCCCAAAGTGTTGATTCCTTTTCATCTGCCCTTACTGCCTCTACCAGCAGTTCTCAATCTGTGGGTCGTGACCCCTTTGGAGGTCAAACAACTCTTTTACAGGGGTTGCCTGATTCATAACAGTAGCAAAATGACAGTTATGAAATAGCAACGAAAATGATTTTATGGTTGCAGGGTCACCACCACATGAGGAACTGTATTAAAGAGGCGCGGTATTAGGAAGGTGGAGAACCACTGGTCTAGATACTCACCCCTCATTCCTCCCGCCTGTCAACATAGCGTTCTGCTGGGCCCAGGCAGCCAGTGAGCTACTTGCCATTACTCCAGACGACTCCGTGTTTGTTTACACAGATGGTGGCACACAGGTGCATACTTCCGTCTGTCTGGTTTCTTCCATGCAGCACACTTATTCTGAGATTTCAGTATGCTGCTGTATTTATCAACTGCTCCCTTCTGTTCGGTGGTCGGAATATACCAGTTTGTTTATTCTTTACCTGCTTACGGACATCAGCATTTTTAAAATTTGACTTTCCCACTCGTCATTAGAATGGGCATGGGAGAGAACAGGTGTCGTCGGGGAAGGTATGGGCTCTGGAGAAGTTTTGTTCCTATTAGTGCATCCTCAACTGTGCCAAGACTTGTACACGATGCATGCTTTCAGTAGGAGGCTGCTGGGGGGAGAAGACCAGGACATAAGAGGTTCTGAGAGTCCCTCAAACAGAAGATTCTGCTTGCCAATCCCAAGTGCAGGGGGTGAATATTAAAAACAGTGACGTGGAAAGCTTGCAGACTTTTGAGCCCAACATTATTTAGGTCCGAATCCTGGCTCCTTGAGTTACTAGCTGTATGTGCGGCTTTGGAGAGGATGAACCTCAGCTCCCTCCTCGGTTCAAGATGCACAACAGTGTTCCCTCAATAGAGTATTCCTATGAATGTTTTGAGTGAAAGTCTGCCTATTGTCTAAAGTCAGAAGATCAAAATGAACGATCGTTTAGACCGATTCTAGGCTGCAGATGTGTCTTGTACAGGCCACTGCACATGTTTCAAATTGGGAGAAATGTCACAAACCATCTATCTGCTTGTGTTCCCTCCTGGCAACGGTCTGCTGTGGCCTAGTGGCAACTGCTCATCTCAGATGCCCACAATGGCTACTGCCACCTCGAGCAGCTGGTACACTGTGGTTCACAGGTCAAGTCCAACCCGCTGCTTGCTTTTGTAAAATAAAGTTTTATGAAAACATAGATGTAGTCATTTGCTTACATGTTGTGTATGGCCCTGTTCACACTCTGTGCTCACTCTATAGCACTTTCTGGAAAAAGTTTGCCCACCCCTGCCCTGGGTTCTACATTCAGGAACTTGCATTCCTGTACTTGAACTTTGACCCAACAGCAACAGGCTTGGGTTAGGTCTGGCCCCTGGTGCCTATGGGCATTTGACTTTGCTCAGTGGATTTAATTCACTCCATCTTCATCCACTACTAGGTGCCGGGTATAAAATGTACCTCTCCTGGGGTATGTTTGCAATCTAGAGGGGAGAAGTATAAGGCATCCAAAGGGGCGTCTTTGATAGGCTGAGCCAGAACTGAGACTACAGGCAGACATTGTCTGGTCTCTTCTCCTCTGCACTCCTCTCCCCATTTTTGCCAGCATCTAACATTCACAACCACTTGGATTTAGGAAGTTTGGGTTGGAGCCAGATAGCCCAGATTAATAAGACAAGCACATCTTTGATGTGTTGAAAAACACGCGAAACTCTCCAGTACAGATTAGTAAGCAAGCACAAGGAAGCACATGCCTCCCTTGCTACTGAGTAATCTGCCCCTGGGAAGGGAAAGATGGTGGTGGTAGGAAGGGGGTGGTGCAGGGATGACGAGAGCAGGGGAGGGCAGAGCAGATGGATTGACGACAGTGTTCCCTGAGCTGCATCCTCTCCACAGTTTGCACTGCTGTGAGGAGGACCAAAAACTCCCCTCCGGAGCAGCAGAGGAGCCCCGCGATGATCCAACAACATGGTGGTGGTGGTGGTGGTGGTGGTAATGTGAACAGAACTAGGAAGCGCCTCCAGTTCACAAGCTTTGGGAGCAAACCTGATGATTCCTCGAAGTCTTGATATAAAATGTGCATGGGCTTTAGCCTCGTGACTTGCCAGGGAATGGTCCTAGATGAGACAAACTGACAACTCCCTCTCTCCATTTATCATGATGTTACCACCTATTGGTCCAGTTGTGAGGGTTTTGATCTTCTTCATATTGAGTTTTAAGCCATACTGAAGTCTGCAACCCTTGACCTTCCCCAGCCCATGCTTCGAGTTTTCTTCACTTTCAGGAAGCAAGGTTGTGCCATTTGCATGTGATATAAATTAAAAGTATTTAAACCTTCAGCATGTCTATTGTTTCTAGACAATGTTCTATTGTTTCTAGACAATGTTCACAAGATAAGAGATAAACTTCAATTGTGTTTTTGATCAACTACTGTTTTCTTCTAAGGAACTGGGACTCCCAGGTCATTCTGTGCAAGCAGTCACAGCCTGGTGTGGATGTGAACCAGATGACTTTTAACCCTATGAACTGGCACCAGCTGTGTTTGTCCAGTTCCAGTGCAGTGAACGTATGGACCGTTGAGCGAAGTAACCAGGTGCACCACTTCTCGGCAAAGTAAGAGGCTTTCTTTCCCCATCGCTAAACGGTAGTCATGTGCATGGAGGTAACGTCATTTGGTGACCTACGTGGTTTTATATGCAGGCTATCTGGAATTATAACTTCTGTTTATATCATTACATTGGATTCTTTGTTTGGATTTCAGAAGGGTTCTTGATGCCTGAATTTCCCAGTGGCTTTTACCTAAATTCCAAACCCCTCCTAGAGCTTTCTGTCAGCTTGGTTTAATCTTCCAAAGTTCGATCGCTCTTATTCTTGCTGGGCATGCTGGTTGTCTACAGAGAACAGTTATTGTTCCTATGATGATGGTGCCTTCCTGGTGCCTCAGAAATAAGACCTGTTGGGACTCAGACATTGCACTTTATCAAAAAACAAAGGGGCAGCTGCAGAGGGTGGAGTCCTTTGAGGTATCCATTTAAATCAAACTGTGTCTAATTTAATGCATGGCTCAATGCATTCTCTAATATTATGGGTTACAAGGCAATGAATAGTAAGTTTGAAGATAAATGCTGGCTCTCATAAATTACGATGGTAGCAGACTCTAGCCAACAGATTTTAAAAAGCAGCTGTCAACATGAAAAATGTCAGTGATTTCTCATGATGTTCTTGTGGAATTTGGGGAGTAGAATTCTCCTATGTTAATATACCTTCTCACTAGAGCTGCATAGCACTTGCCTCCTTCAGGAGTTCTCTGCCACCTGGCTACCTGTTACCTGCCAGACCCTGTTCCATTTGAGCTTACAATCCTCATTCTAAATAGTTACTCTAGTAGTAACTTTGAGGATTTGAAAATCCCTGGGGTCTTAATTTAGAACGGTGCATTGCTTGTCCTCTTGTGATCTTTTACAATCTAATTTTTCACTCTATCACCACTCCACCCACGTATCCACCCAGATGCAGTGGTCGCATGCATGTTGTTGTTGTTGTTAGGTGCCTTCCAGTCAGTTCCAACCCAGTGACCCTGCGCACAACAGAAGGAGACACTGCCTGGTCCTGCGCCCTCCTCACAACCGTCCCTTAGCCTGAGCCCCTTGTTGCAGCCGTGGTGTCAGTCCGTCTCCTTGAGGGCTTCCTCCTCTTCACTGCCCCACGACACCAAGCATGACGTCCTTCTCCAGGGACTGGTCACTCCTGAAAACATGTCATGTTAGATGAAGTCTCACCATTCTTGCCTCTAATCTGGTCTTACTTCCTCCAAGACACATTGGTTTTGTTCTTTTAGCAGTCCACGGTACTGTCAGTCTTCTTCCCAGCACCACAATTCAAATGCCTTGATGCTTTATTCCATGTCCAACTTCTTTCACGTGCAGACGAGGCAATGGAAAATACCGGGTCTTGGGTCAGGGACACCTTAGTCCTCAAAGTAACATCCTTGCTTTTCAATACTCTAAAGAGGTCTTGTGCAGCAGGTTTACCCAATGCAACACATCTTTTGATCTCTTAACTGCTGCTTCCATGAGCATTGATTGCGGATCCAAACAAGACAAAATTCCCAGTCAACTTTGACCATTTCTCCATTTATCGTGATGTAAACTTATCAATGGTGATGATTTTGGTTCTTTTTTTGTTTTTTACATTGAGTTGTGATCCAGAAGTCTGCAATCCTTGATCTTCATCAGCAAGTGCTCCAAATCCTCCTCCTTTCAGTAAGCAAGGTTGTATCATCTACATGTCACAGATTGCTAATAAACCTTCCTCCTCTAGCAACTTGATGTAAGGTTTCTGAGATAGAAGCAGACAACCTCATCTTTCTCCCATGGCGCAGCTGGTGGGTTTGAACCACCAACCTTTCTCTGAGCAGCCTAACCCACAGTGCCACCAGGGCTCCTGGCACCAATGATTACTATTCGCTAATCTTATTCTTCTGATGTCTCTCCCACAGGTCAGTAAAACTACCAACAGAAGATGGGTCCCTTCTGATTGAAAGAGACATCATTTTCTCCCACTCGAAGCCCAAGGATCTTATCTATGGACCGGTGCTCCCTATATCCGCTATCGCTGGGCTAGTGGGTGAAGAAGCAGAAACTTTCAGGGTAATTACCTGGCATCTCTTCCTGTTTTCCTAATAGCCTGAGGTTGAGGGGGTATCATCTCATTTGACCTCATAAACTATCCATGAAGCAGGCAGGCGTGAGGGATTTGGCTGAACACGGATTGAGACTGTGAACAGTGAAGGCTCTGGAGTTTTGAACTTGGACGACTGGGAAGGTGACGACACTGCTAATAGACACGGGGAGCCCAGGTGTGAATTTCCACTTGGGTCGCATCCACTTTTTAATTCGCCTCAGGTAAGAACTGCAACTAGACCACGGAACAGTTCCATGTTTAAACAGAACAAGGAGCAACTGTGCAGCTTCAAATCAGGAAAGGTGTACTTCAGATCTGTATCCTCACCAGCCGTCCTTACGCAACATGTATGCTGAGCTCATGATCTCACAAGCTGGACGCTACGAAAGAGAGTGCAGCATCAGGGAGAGGGCCCACCATCCCACTGAGCTATGCAGATGACACAATCTTCATCTAAGAAGATGTAAATCATTTATTGATGAGATGAGTTACATCCGAACATACATCCTCACAACTGGACCAATAAGCAACATGGAGAAAAGATGGACACTGTCAAGGATTCTAGGGCACTCGGATCCATAATCAGCACCCATGGAAACAGCCATCTAGAAATCACACATTGTCTTATCTTCTGCAAAGATGCTGCAAAGGGCCTTTTTAAAAAAAAATTTTTTTTTTCAGGGCCTTTAAAAAGTGTTCAAAAGCAAGGTTACCGCATCGAAGACTAAGGTGCACCTGACCCAAGTCACAGCATTTTCCATGGCGTCGGATGCAGGAGACCCAATCTGGAGAATGACTAAGGAAGACAAAAGAAGAAGCACGGATGCCTGTGAATTACGGTGTCAGCAAATAATATTAAATATATTAGGAAGAAGTACAGCCAAATACTCTACCGGAGTGAGGCTAGCAAGACTTTGACTCTTATACTTGGGACATGTCATCACGAGAGACCTTCACAGTTGGGAAAGCAGAGGGCCGGCCCTAAAAGGAAAACACCCACTGAAGTGGATCGACACCGCCGTTACAACAACAGGCTCAGACAGAGCAACGATTGTGAAGCTGAAGCAGGACCAGGCCATGTGTTGGTCTGTTGTCCATGGGCCACTATGCAAAACGGACTCCACAGTACCTCCTTGCTGGTGGTGCGGGCGGGGAATGTACAAGAGCTATGATGGACACAAACCGGCAAAGTGGGCTGGTTTTAGAAAGGAGAATGCAAGACCTAAGACATAGATATTCAAGTCATCCTCACAGATGGGATAGTGGAAGCTGAGAGAGAGAGAGGAACAGGAGAGAAAGGGTGTCGATGGTGCCGGGCTATCAGAAAAAGTAACATGTGGGATCTGAAAGGCTTATCTTAAAACAAGCAGCCATGGAAGTGAGGTGACTGCTAAGTCTACACAGAAGAAGCACACCAGCTTCTGTGATCCAAAGACTGTAAACAGTAAAATCCAAGACCAGAGGAGGGAACAGTATTAGAGAGTAAATTCAGAGCACCCAGTTTACAGAAGGCTGTGGTTGCCAGTGGAAAAACAAAACCCTTTTGCAGGGTCCCCACTTGAAATAAGCCTGCAGTGAAATTCCTCTGCCCATTGACCAGGGAGAAGAACAACCTTGCTATCAGATCGAGTGCATCGGAAAGGGAACCAATGTAGATTTAGTTAGATTAAACTGTAACAACTTACCATGTGTTCTCCCTTTTGACTCATTATAAATTTGTGCTACTCTCTGCTGATCTTTGTTATCTTTTCAACTGAGGTTTTTCAAAATTTTAGTTCGTTGTTCTGGTTTTGGTTTGCTCATCTTTTTCTTTTTATACACTTTGCTGTATATGAAACCTAGGATAGGTAAATCTAGAGAGACAGTGACTGGATTAATCGTTTCTTGGGGTTGGGGAAGGGAGGTTGGTGAGAAATAGGGAGCTAATAATAACAAGTCCAAAAAAAGGGAGAAAATGTGCAAAATTGATTGTGGTGATGTTTACACAACTCCTTTTAATAGGTTTTAACTATTGCATTGTCTATGTGAATTATGTGCCAATAAAATTGTTAATGTTAAAACAATAGAAAAGATGGATGGTTCTAAACCACCAGCGGCTCCTCAAGAGAAAGCTCATCCTGGCACTGGGGATCTTTACAGAAGCTGACCACCGCGTCTTTCTACTGTGGGGCAGCTGCTGGTGTCAAACTGTCCACCTCTCTGTTAGAAGCCAAGTGCCAAATTACTGTGCCAACAGGATGCCTTTCATTTTTAAGAAGGTCCCTCAAATTCCAACCATCTCCATCTTTATTGCTTTTATGCAGTACTTTAGACAGGAACCCTGATCATTCACATTTTGCATCAATTTGTCGAGCCCTACATGAAGCATGGAACATTCTGGCCAATTAGCCTAGCCATTTAACAAAATGCTCTGCAATTACTACTCCCACCCTTAAAAAAAAAAAAACCCCAAAAAACAACTTACGTGTGGAGTGGCCAATTTTTAAAATATTTAGTGTTGTAGTTGAACATCTCTAAATTATAAAGGAAGTCAAAATAGATCCTACATTTTCCCTTCATGTTAGAAATGTTCCCAGTAGTTCATTATTTTCCTTTTCTTAGTTAAATGATGTGATGAAGACGGCTAGAGCTCTTTCTTAATGTCTGTACAATGAGGGAAGGCACAGCCAAATATAGGTCTCAAATGTCTCAATAATGTATCTTCCCTGAAAGTCGTGCCTCGTGACCTGGGCCCAACAGCAAAGAAATCACCAGTGAATTCACAGCATCATATCCATATAAATTTGTAAATTTAGACTTTTACCAAATTTCAAACGTTAACCTCCCCCCTCCCCACTTCTCTGTAGATAACATTCAAGGTAGATTTTAGGCCGTAAAATAGGATGGAGTCGCATGACACTTACTCAGAGTCCTTCCAGCAGTACATGGAGGAAATCAAAGGCGGATTATATCTGGGCAGGCACTTGATTCAGGAAAATGAATTCAATCTCTAGTTTAATTTTTCCACCAACTTAAAAAAAAAACCACAACGCCGAAGTTTCCAAATAGAAAACTCTACTTGGCATTGCCGTAACTTGGGATGGACTCAATGGCTGTTAACTACAATATTCTAAAGTTAGGTACCCTAAAACATAGGTGCTTACATTTCCTAAAACAATTAAGTTGGACTCAGAGTTTTCATGCTTGATCTCCAAGGGATCAAACTGCTTGATGTAGGGTCCCAGAGGCCTGGAGGAAGGAGACGATGTTATCCACAAATACTGTAAAACACTATCAGCACCTTCCCTTTTAAAGCTCGCTGAGAAATATTATTTATACACATAATATGATATTCATTTTTAAATGATAAGACTATATTTGTTGATGAAAGTAGTAAAAGCATATGCTTAGGTTCATCTTAAAGTAAGAAAGCTCACATATCATTCCAATTTCACATACAAAGGCCGGGAAAGGCCTAAGTTCTCATCCTCACTTCCAGATTCTTGGGTATTGTGAGAATCAGAAATGTGGCTTTTAAAATTTGTGTGGTGGTGTAATAGTTATGAGTCGGACTGCTAGCCATGAGGTCAGCAGTTTGAAACCAGCCACTCGTAAGGAGCAAGACTGGGATTTCTAATCCCTTTAAGACTTAGAGTCTCGGAAATTCACAGGGGCAATACTACTCTATCCTATAGTGTTGCTATGAGTCAGCATCAACTCAATTGTAGTGAGTCTGGTGCCCATTTCTAAAACAAATAGAATCTGCCCCTTTATAGCCTAAGGTAGTGGTGGCTGCTGTTTGATAAGTGTTGTTGTCAGTCCCAGTCGTAGTAACCTTATGTACAACAGAATAAAACACTCCACAGTCCTATGCCAACCTCACATTATTGTGTTTGAACCCATTTTTAGAAGCCATGGTGTCAATCCATCTCATCGACAGCCTTCCTCTTTCTCTCTGTCTTTCCATTGTATCAAGCACGATATCCTTCTCCAGGGACCGGTTTATCCGGACAGCATACCTAAAGTACATGAGATGAAGCCTCGTCGATGTAGCTTCTAAGAAGCATTCTGGCTGTATCTCTTCAAAGGTTAGATGTCATCAAGACAACTCGGGAAGATTTTAAAGAATAATGGTTGTTGAATAATTCTTTTTCTTATGAGTCACAGCTTGGCCAACCAGCACAGAAATGTCCATAATCAGCAGAGTTTAACCCTTTGGGGTAGTTTTACCCTATTTTTAGTTCACTGGTTGGCCAGATTGTCATTCAATGATTACTTTTCAAAGTAAGTTTATGAGAGTATGAAATAGACCCGTGATACAATTGAAGTCAGTCTATCCACTTGAAAAACGTATCATGGCAAGTTCTCCTCTGCTTTCTTAGTCACATTTTGAGATTCAGACCAAAGGACACACCTCCTTTCTCCCTCGTCTTCCTCTCCACTGAGCTGAACCACTTTTTCCTCATTCGCGATTCTCACACACACAAACACCCCTCCACTCTAAACTACAAATGCTTTCTGATATGTGTTGATCCTGCTTCTCCCCTCAATAGGTGATTATCCTGTTGAGAAGTGGGATCTATCAGGACTTGGCACAATGCCTGATATATAATGACTTGGCACAATGCCTGGTATACAATAAATATTCAGTAAATATTTACTGAGACAATATCAATTATGCATCAAACTTGTATCAGTTGATAATCTAGCAGAAATACTTATTCTGCAGGCCCATACCTGCTTTGCCTTGACTCAGAAAACCTTTCCTAAATGAAGGATTCCTGGTGGCCCAGTAGTTAAAGTACCTGGATGCCAAACAAAAGGTGAACATTGTGGTCTTGGTCAGAGTGGTCAGCAGTGGTATGCAGACACTATACATTTCTGGTAAGGTCATTATTGGCAGTTTCATCTCATAGAGGTGATTTTTTAAAGGAGCATAGTACTTCTGTTGGCTTTGATTCTTTTTTGAGCTAATTTGTTATTTAGCTACAAGGTGACCTCCAGGGTCAGTTTTAGTTCAAGATTCAAAGAATATCTCAGAGCAGTGGTTTAGGGGAATGACTCAACCAGTTCAGTTAGACTTGTTTGTTCTTGCTGCTGTTGCTGCTGCTGCTGCCACTTTTAGGAATTTGAGCTTCTGTTCCACATTTTTTTCTTCCATTCTAGCCATCTTGTGTGGCCCTGATTAGAATGTTCAGTAGTGCTAACTGGGTACCGTCTAATTTGTCTGTTGGCAGTGCAGATGAGGCCAGGGCTTATGTAGCCTTTGTCCTGCACCCTAGTCTCTTCTTTGTGCTTTGGTTCCTTCTTTCTCTTCTGTCCTGATGGATAGAAACCAATAGCTGTGTCTTCGATGCTCCTCCAAGCTTCAAGTCCGTGACCTTTCTCACCAAGCTAGGATGTAGGAGATAACTTTATGAACTCTATTATGCCAGTTGACTGAGATGTCCTTATCTTAAAACCCAGAGATCCAAGCCTAGAAAGGGTTAGGTTATGTCTAAGACGTATCTGTAACCGCACCCCCGTGTGTGGTGCACAGATAAGAATACATTCAACTTATCACGACTCTACATGCAATGGAACAAACTCTGCCCTCGCCTACACCATCCTCACAGTTGTTACCTTTGAATCCACTGTTGCAGCCACAGTGTAAATCCATCTTGTCAAGTGTCTTCTTCCTTTGTGCTGTTCCTCTACTTTACCAGGCACAATGTCTTTTTCTAGACTGGTCTCTTCTGATAACCTGTCTGAAGTGCATAAGACAGAGTCTCACCAGCCACGATTTTCAGGAGCATTCCGGCTCAAATTCCTCCAAGACAGATTTGTGTGTTCTTCTGGAGATATGGCCCTTTCAATATCTTTGCAACAACATGATGCAAATTCTTCATTTCTTTTTCAGTCTTCCTTATTCATTGTCCAGCTTTCCAATGCATATAAAGCCATTAAAAATACCATCGCATGGGTCAGGTGGCCCTTAGTCCTCAGAGTGACATTATTGCTCTTTAACACCTTAAAGAGGTCTTGTGCGGCAGATTTGCCCCATGCATTATGCCGATTGAATAGTCCTATATGTACACACATATTTACATGTATACCTGCAACATATTTATGGTTGTTTTTGATGTTGTTTCAAAATGATATATAAGCCAAATCATAGCCTATTTTTATATGGCCTCAAGCTAAGGATTATTTTTATATTTTTAAAGAGTTGTATATAAAAACAACAACAAACGGGAGGGTGTAGGGAAGGTGAGGGAGAAAGGGGGAACAGATTACAAGAATCTACATATAACCTCCTCCCTGGGGGGTGGACAGTGGAGAAGTGGGTGAAGGGAGACATCAGACGGTGTAAGATATGACAAAATAATAATTTATAAATTATCAAGGGTTCATGGGGGAGGGGGAAGCAAGGAGGGAGAGGAAAAAATGAAGAGCTGATACCAAGGGCTCAAGTAGACAGCAAATGTTTTGAGAATAATGATGGCAAGAAATGTACAAATGTGCTTGACACAAGGGATGGATGTATGGATTTTGATAAGAGTTGTACAAGCCCCCAATAAAATGATTTTTTAAAATAGTGTAGAAATTACTACTCAACACATTCATGACCATCTGTCTCCATAGAAGAAGCCTGAATGTTTTCTTGGTGAATTAGAATGCAGAGAAATGGAGTAAGGAGGTCATTTAGTTACTCAAACCAAATGCACTGCCGTTTAGTTGATAGAACCCGATTGGACAGAGGAGAACTACTGCCCTCTGGGGTTTGGGAAGCTGTCCGGCTCTATGAGAGCAGACCTCATCCTTCTCTCCTCTTGATAATGACTGGTATTTTCCACCTGTTGGCCTTCAGGACTCCTAGAAGTTCAATTATCGACTGAAGAATATCTGTGTCCATTTGCTTCTTTTAAAAAATTGGGGTTCCAATTTCTCTAATGCTTGCGCTATAGTGACTGTCTTAACACAAGACTTTTAATCTTGCCTTTAAGCCAAAGGATGATCTGCATCCTTTGCTTCACCCAACGATGCATTGCTGGACTCCAACTAATGACTTGTATATTGGCTGTGAAGAGGGCTATCTTTTAATGATCAATGGAGAGACTTTGAAGGTGACTGTGCTGAATAAGATTGAAGAACCACCATCTACGGGTAAGAAACTGCTCTGCTTCATATTTCCAGGGGGGTAGCCATGCATGTTGCTTTTCATATTTATAGGTTAAATTTCTGGATGCCACTTTCCTCCTCCTTACAGCCAGCATTGATTCTTCCTCCTTCATACTCTATATCTAATTAGTTACTAAATCCGCTGAATGCTTTATAGCTAGCTAATGCTTATTGATTATTATTGAGTTCCAAGCATTCTGCTATCCCTTTATAAGCATATTTCACATAATCCTCAAAACAACACTGTTAAAATACTATTTTTATCTCCATGATACAGATGAGGAAAGGGGGGGGGGGCACTGAGAGGTTAGGAAATATGCCAAAATTCACATAAATAGTAAAGAGTGGAACTGGTACCAGAGCCCAGGCAATATGACTTCCAAGAAATCCAAGTTGTTAATTATGCTATATTCTTTCCTGTATATGAACCGGATCTGTTTAATCAGCTAATAAGACTGTTTTCTGTGTGCCCCCACCCACTCACCCACACCAGGCCCCTTCAACTCTTTTCTTCATGATATGATTTTTTTCATTATAAATCTAGCTGCCTTCTTGAAAATAACTGCTGTGTTTCTAGCTTAGAATTTCAAAGATAATCTGGTCTAATTTCCTTAGTTTCTGGTATCTGTTTCCATCCAATAAACTGTGGTGATAGCTGGGCCTGGGTCATAGGGGCCAGTGTCTACCTAAGGGCGAGATACAGGCTCAGTGAGACGGCTTCACTCAGGCAAGCTCCACAAACCTATCCGAAGCATTCTCTACTCCAATCGCCCTTATTACACATCCTCATTTCTGCAGCAACATTAGACTAATGTCACTGACCTTCAGTCTCCATTTGATCTATCTTATTACTGCCAACTTGCCCTGCTTTCTGTCAAGTTCATTTTTATGCTTGTAATTCAAGGACTTCTCTGCCTTTGTTTCAATGGCCTCCATCATCTGACCCTGACCTCACTCCCGCAATATATACCATTAACACCATATCCTACTACATGCTATATGAGTGCTCTGATCCTATGCACTCATTGATTCCCATTAGGTTACACACATACATCCTTGCTCATTCCTTTGTCACTGGACTTTTAGAGAGCCTTTGGTTCCCAGCTCAAGTGCCACTTCCTCCCAAAGCTTTCGCTGCTGTATGCCCTCTCTCATCCCGACTCGTCATTGTACTTCACTGATGAAATTGAGGCCATTGGCTTTGAAGTTTCATCCCCCATCCGTCTCCCTTTCGTCTTTGTTCTTAACCCGTGTGCTTCAGACTCGCATTCCCTCTCTATAATCTGGCATCCACCATGCTAATCTGGAGAGCGCTCTAACAAATAAACCTCTCTTCTGTCCTGCCTCTGCAGCTCCTCCAACTGGAACTTCTTCAAATGTCAGGTCATCCCCCTCCTCTCTCCAAATGCTGTCGCTGGGCATTTGAATGTCCTTCTCTTCTTGTCCACCTGGTGACACGCTCCTCATTTATGAAGTCTTCCCCATTTGCACCCAGCCTTTAGGAATAGTAGGGGGCCCCTGGGCAGTTCCATTTGGCTCATCCAGTTGTTAGAACCATGCTATTCCAATTGCCAATGAGTGTGCCTGACTTTCTCACGAGGCATCTGTGTCTGTCTCATATTTTGGATCCAAAATCAAACCCCAGGGATTACAACAGAGTAAACTGACACCTATCTGTGTTTGCAAAATGACTTAATAAACCGATGTTTCTATTTTCCAAACTCCAGCACGTTTCTAATGGAGCTTACACGATTGAGGACTTAATCACCTGGTTATTGATTGTAGGTGCCCTCAAGTTGGTTCCGACTCATAGTGACTCCACGTGTGAACCCACTGTTGCAGCCATTGGGTCAGTTCGCTGAGGGGTCCCTCCTTTTTGATGCCCTTCTACTTTATCAAGCCTGATGTCCTTTTCCAGGGACTAGTCTCTCTTGATAACATGTCCAAAGCAATTGAGAGACTTCGAACAATGTCTCCATCTTTCAACAAATGGAGACTTCCAAGATAGATTTGTTTTTGCTGTTTTAAAATCTCTGACAGTGCTCTCTTGAAAGAAAACGTATTTACTATATAATTCTAGAGGTGGTTACACAGCAGCGATGCTACCAAACTTGAAACCACTCCCGTGATCCCTATGAGCAACCTTTGCTAAGCCATTTTGCGGAGGCATCATAGCACCTTTTCTAATGTCAAGCTGAGTTTTGTAAATGATTCCTAAGAAACGAATGAGAGCAAAAGAGGAGTCCCGTTGACTCAACAGTTAAGCTTTCAGCTTCTAACCCAAACGTTGGCAGTTCAAACCTACCAGTTGCCTCTGTGGGGAGAAGATCTGGTGATATGCTCCCATGAGGATTCAAGTCTAGAGAAAGTATGGCCCAGTTCTACGGTGCCATCTGGGTTCACTCTGAGTCAGAATCAACTTCAGGGCCCAATACAGCAAAGTGAGACCGAGGGAGCTCGCTTTGGACTGCACTTGACTGACTGCACTCACCCACTAGCTGTCACCTGACTTACTTTGTTTTTCTTTCCTAAAAGGCAGAGGAAATATTATCAGCCCAGTCACCTTGGTATATCAGAAGGAAGGCATCTTTGCTTCTGGAATAGTAATGTATTTTTTTTCTTTAAACATACTTGTTTTTAAGAAAATAGGCATTTCCCTTTTGTTGATGTTTAGCATAATGAATTATGTCTAGGGATGCCTGTTTCGTACAGATGTTGCATAATATTTTTTTGGATGCTACTGAAAAATGTTTAATTATGAAGAGTTTAGGATACATTAAAAGTATGAAGAACAGCAGAATGAACCAATCACGTACCTATCTTATTTCAAATAAAAATATAAGAGGGCTTCAAAAAATTTGTGGAAATGTTTCATAAATCTTGAAATTCCATTCCCCCCACCCCATAAACTTCTTGAAGTCCCCTTGCATAATTTTAAAGTTCACCTCCTCCCTTAGACCTTGTATCTGTTACCCAATCCCATACCTATTTGTTCCCTTAATCATGAGCCTTTTGTTGTCAGCCATGAGTTTGGGGCTTATCATCTCAGCTGGAGTTTAGACTCTTGTGCATGCCCATGTAGCCTACATGCATAATATTGTTTAAGTGTTCTTATTCAAAATGAGGGTTAATTGTCTCCATTTACTTGTGCTAGGGGAGCCCTGGTGGTGTAGTGGGCTCCATGTTGGACTGCTAACCACAAAGTCAGCAGTTCAAATCCACCACTTGCTCCACAGAAGAAAGATGAGGCTTTCTGCTCCCAGAAGATTTACAGCCTTAGGAACCCAAAGGGGCAGTTCTACCCTGTCCTACAGAATAGCTATGAATTGGAATCGACTGGGTGGCAGTGGGTTTAGAATTTTCTGGGACTTGTACTGGCTTTTGCCCGGCACCATGGTAAGTGCTTTATTGGATTCTCTCACTGGTCCTCACCATCAAGCCCCATCACATAAGAACTGTAGATCTCTCCCTTGCACAGGTGAGGGATCGGAGGCCCACAGTGGTCACCAGCAAGTAAGTGGAGGAGCTGGGACTTGGACCCAGCTGTGTCACACGCCAAAGCCTCTGCTCTCATGCATTACACTGCACAGCTTCAGAAAATATGAAAAGGGATCAGAGGTAGTTATTTTTCCAGGCCGCTATAAGCATGGTTTGGAGCTGCAGACCTACATTAAAATCGCATGCCTATTGGCTCTCTGGAGTCCACTGTTAGCCTTTCTTGTTCCATCGCCACAAGTCACAGCTCGGGCTCTGAGGGCAAGCAGGCAAGGCTTTCAGGTGAGAGATGCATCTCCACCAAGGAGAAGCAATCTAGAGCCCAGGCATCAGCACTCTGTCTTTAATCCCCTGTCCACACCTTGCAGTGGACTGCCTTCTCCACATGATGGGCGTGGTGAAGTCACCATGGTTTCAAGCATCTGAACTCAGTCATTCCACAAAGGCCTATTCTTCGACATCAGGAGGTCTGCTATAGAAACAATAGATGACTTGGCTTCAAGACTCTTCACAATAGTAAAATTAACTCAAATTCTTCTTGAGTAGTTAAATTAGCCAAAATATTTGACCACCAACCAATCAACCCATTTTTATCGAATATCTATCATGTTCCCAGCACGGTCTGTGAGGAACAAGAAAGGAGAATACAAAGGAAATTACAGGCATCCTCACTCCTTAAAGAATGACCCCCAGGGTGAGTTGTCCTTTGAAATAAGAAGATTGCTGTCCATCGTCGAAATAGCCAGCTCTGCTACATGTGTTCCACTCTTAGAAAACGAGGAACCTGACACAGAAGATAGAGGCTCCAGGAGTTGAAAGAAAGAAATTATTAAAATTTTAAGTCGTTGAAAAATGTATCAGGAAAGAGATAAAATTAAAGCTTGACCAGAGACAAGATTGAAAGTGGTCTAATTAAAAGTGAGAAGGCAGGGCATTCTATATTATGTGAGCCCAGCAGAGGATTTGAAAAATAAACAGCAGCATGGTCATATATAAGTGTTAGCTTACCTAATGGGGACAACATGCTCTGTGCATTGATTGAAACTGATTTTCTGCATTTCTCTCATTGTTTTCGGTCTCTAGGATGGCTTTGTGTATTCTTTTATTATTAAAGACTCAAGTTACAAAGTGCAGAATTTTGTGGAGCTGGAAGAGCCCGTGGAGCATTTGACGTTTTCTCCCAATTACAAAGTGTTGCTGATTCAAACACAGAAGGTATGGTTGGTGGCAAGTTCTTGGAATACAACTGTTGGCTGAAATGAGGGTCCTCAGTGTCTGACATGAATGAAGGTACCATGTACCGCAGGATGGCACTCTCCTCGTCAGGGCTCTAGGGTACAAATAGAGAAGAAAGCAAACAAACTCCAACGTAAAAAGGACTTTGCTTGGTTGGTTGGTTTTTGTGCATGTGACGGAAAGGCAATGAGTGGATCTGGGCTGCCACAGTGCCACCGGGCCTTGTTTTCCTTCCATCCCTTGGCTCCTCCTTCCATCCCTTGGCTCCGTCTTCTCTCTGTGGCTCCATGACCAAACTGACCTTCCCTCCTGCAGCTCCACATTCCACATATTTCTGTCCTCTTGGTGGGAAGATACCAGCTGGAACAAATGTCTTGGAAGTTTGACTCACGAGACTGACTTGAGTCACCTTATTCAAGGGATTCTGAATTCTGATCAACCAGGTCTGAGCTGATCAACCAGGTCTGAGTCACGTGCCCACCTTTGGGTCCAGCGTAGAGTCAGCCCACGCAAACAGACAGATTAGGGGCCAGCATGGTACTATAAGAACATACAGAGTGTATAACAGAAGAGGGGGGCGGGGGGAGTAAATGCAGAGTGAAAACAAATGCCTAGCTCAGTGGGGGGACTCCTCATTCATGAAATGACCTTCAAAGGCCAACATTAGTAGTAGTTCATACTGTTAGGCCAATTTAAAATTTTTTGTGTGCTTTGGGTAAAAGTTTACGGAGCACATAGGTTTTCTCTGCAACCATCCGCTCACACTTTGTGTGTGTGTGTGTGTGTGTGTGTGTGTGTGTGTGTGTGTGTGTGACGTGGATCGGAATGCCCACGATGGAATAGCGTTCTTACGTGTCCTCTTGTGTTTGCTGTTTCCATTCATGCTGCTCTCCTGTCCCGAAGCCGCCTAAGGCTGCTTCTGGTCTCCACCCCTAGGCGAATGCTGCCCTTCCATCCTGTGCAGCTGCCTGTTCGAAGGAAAGTGCACTCCCTGGGTCCCCGCTCACCTTTTAGGCTTGTCGACTGTTTGGGTGACAGTTGAGCCACAGGAATGAGCTCAGTTCCAGGCCTGAAGGTATCCAAGGGCCAAAATCTAGGAGGGGGCTAAGAGAGGGGAAGGTATGTCAATAGCCTCTACCAGACCAGTAATTCTGTTGTTGTTTTTTTTCTTCATGATTTTGAATTTTGTGGTGCATTTTTCTTCCCCTCTACCCAGGACCTCTTATTGTGAATCCTTTTCAGAGCATTTGGCAATGGTGCTGAGCACCATCTAGTTCTGGTTTCTGCCTGGATGAAGTTGGGGTGAGTGTGGCCCCGTAGTTCCTTTGGACTCCTTGTCTCTTTGATTTCATTCAGTCTGCCTTGCTCCAGGCTGGGAGGGACCAATAGTTGTACCTTAGGTGGCTGCTCAGAAGCATTTAAGACCCCAGTAAAACATTGTCTTGGTGGATGATGTCAGGCCAATTGCCCTTGATATCACCTGTGATGATGGTCCTGAATTCCCAGACCTCTGAGTATTCTCCTACATCCATGGATATATCTGCAGTATCTTGTAAATACATATGTAGAAATATCCTCTGTCACACTTACATGTACTTGTGGGTGCAGTCCTTTGTGCCTCTCCACATCTATTCAGTTTGCATCCGCTTACGGAGTCTTGTGATTACTGCCACTGCAGAGCTGTGTGTGTAATGGTGTTTACTTTTGTTGCCTTTACCTCCGAATCCTCCCAGTGTCCGTCTCTGTCTTGATCATTTTGTACTAACCTCCCCCTTAGTGTATATTGGCTGGATCCAATTTTTTTTAGACTAAATTTTACATGAAATTGAGATTATAAACAAAGTTTATATTTCCTGTCTAAACATAAATCTAAATATAGGAAGACTCTGGATCTGATCATTGTCACAATTAAAAACTGTACTGTTTTAGTAAACAAACAACAAACTTAAAATATCTATGGTACATTAAAAATATATATAAAAAATAACATAATCAAAGTGAAGAGGACTCAAATGGAGCTTCTAAAAGAAGAAAAATCTGTTCACAGGACTTTAAAAACCCAGTGAACTTGTCCACCAGCACATGAAATGCAAATAATTGGAGGACAAGTCCGATGTTACATAGAATGCAGCCCAGAGAGGAAAACGTGTGGGAAATATAGAAATGAGGGTACAAGCATGACGGGTACAGTGAACAGTTCTAACAGCTATCTGGTTGAAGCCGCAGAGAAAAGAGTGGAAAGAGGCAATACTGTCCAGAACTGATTAGGAACATGGATCTACCAATTCAAGCGGCCTCGTGAGTCCTAAACAGGATACGTCAAAAGAAATACACTCTTGGACTTAACAAAGTAAACATTTTAAACTCAAGACAAAGGGCGTTTTTTGTTCTGTTCTTTAAAAGCAGTTAGAAGAAAAGATAGATTCCTTCAAAAGGATTTCAATTAGATGTACCAACTGATTTCTCTGTGGCAATATTTAGGTCAGAAATAGTGGGATAATATGTTCCCTGAAGTATGAAACCAGGAAGTCAAGCCTCCTGCTTCCCCTCACTGGTGTCATCGAGGCAGTTCGGACTCCTGGCGACATGACCTACAGCAGTACAGAACACCACGTGGTCCCGGCCCAATCTCACCGCGGTTCTTACACTGGGGCCCTGTTCCAGCCACCGGGCCAGTCCGTCTTGTCGAGAGTCTTCTCTTTTTCTCTGCCCCTCTACTGTACCAAGCACGATAAGCCTTTTCTAGGGACTGGGCTCTCCTGACAACATGTCCTACGTATGTGAGACGAAGTCTCACCATCCTTGTCTCTAAAGAGCATTCTGGTTGTATTGCCTCCAAACCAGACTGGTTTGCTCTTTAGCAGGCGAGAGAACTCCCACTGTTCTTCACCAGCACCATAAATCAAACACACTAATTCTTCTTTGGTCTTCCTTATTCCGTGTCCAGCTTTCATATGCATACAATGTGATTGAAAAGAGCCTGGTCTGAGCCAGGGGTACTTTGGTCCTCCAAGCAGCAACATTGCTTTTCGATGCTTTAAAGAGGTCTTGTGCAGCAGGTCTACCCAATGCAATGCATCATTTGATCTCTTGACTGTGGCTTCCATGAGCACGTGGATTCAAGGAAGACAAAATCCTTGACAACTTCAATCTTGTCTCTGTTTATCATGAAGTTATGTATCGATCTAGTTGGGAGGATTTTGGTTTTCTTTACATTGAGTGGTGATCTGTACTGAAGCCTGCAAGCCTGGACACAAGCAGAAGTGTGTCCTTTGCATATCAAAGGTTGTTAATAAGCCATCTTCCAATCCCGATGCCACATTCTTCTTATAATCCAGTTTTTCTGATTAGTTGCTCAGGATGCATTCCTAGTAGAATAGTGGTTACATGTTAGACTATGAACCACAAGGTCAGCACTTCCAAACCACCAGCTGCTAGGGGGGAGAAAAAATGGGACTTTCTACTGTCCTAAGGAGTGACAGCAGTGGTTCTCAACCTTCCTAATGCTGCGACCCTTTAATACAGTTCATGTTGTGGTGACCCCCAACCACAAAATTATTTTCATTGCTACTTCATCACTTCAATTATGCTACTGTTATGAATCGGGTGACCCCTGTAAAAGGGCCGTTTGATCCCCAAAGGGGTCGCGACCCACAGGCTGAGAACCGCTGAGTTACAGCTTCTGAAATCCACAGAGGCAGTTCTACCGTCCTATGGGTCTCCAGGAGTCAGAATCCACTTGATAGCAGTGTGTTTGGTTTGGATACAGATGGAATACATATGGTAAGAGGGTACAACCCCATACACACACCTTTCTTGTTTTAACCCGTGGAGTATTCCTTTGTTCTGTTCACACCGCTTATATCGACCCTCTATAAGGTTTCTGAGATTGTCTTTGCAGGAACAGACAGCCTCTTCTCTCTCCTGCAGTGTGGCTGGTGGATATGAACCACTTCCCCTGTGGTTAGCAATCCTAACCCATCATGAAACCAGGGCTCCTTTCAATATAGTGGAGGGGTCAGGATAGTACAGCCCCATGTACAAAAACCAGCCTGTTGCTGGTGCCTGATTTTATAAACGAAGTTTTATTGTAGCACAGACAGAGCCAGGCATTTGTGTATCATCTACAACTATCTTTGCTCTACAATTATAGACTGAAAAACCCGACATGTTTACTATTTGGCCTTTTATAAAAATGTTTGCCAACCCCCTGATGTAATGAAAGATAAAAAAGATTATTTTTTTCCTCAAACCTTTTAATATGGTAACACAGCACAAAGTATTAGCCATCCGCACTTCTTCCACTCACTTCTCCCGTCACTATATTTCCCCATTTGTCTCAAATTTCCTTTGTTGTCATTTATTTTATTTTTGTTTATTATTTGTTTGATTAACAATTTTAATTGGTCCAG